GCAATACTAAAGAAGGTCTCCATGATGTATTTGCTATACAATAGTAGGGTCGTGGGTTCGAACCCTATATATTAATGACTTATGAAAGTAAGGTATATGATACAAAAGCAATACTATAGAAGGTCTCTATGATTAATATGAATTACAATAGTAGGGTCGTGGGTTTGAACCCTATATATTAATGACTTATAAAAGTAAGGTCATGATACAAAAGCAATACTATAGAAGGTCTCTATGATTAATATGCTTTACAATAGTAGGGTCGTGGGTTCGAACCCTATATATTAATTACTTATGAAAGTAAGGTCTATGATACAAAAGCAATACTATAGAAGGTCTCTATGATTAATATGAATTACAATAGTAGGGTCGTGGGTTTGAACCCTATATATTAATGACTTATAAAAGTAAGGTCATGGTACAAAAGCAATACTATAGAAGGTCTCTATGATTAATATGCTTTACAATAGTAGGATCGTGGGTTCGAACCCTATATATTAATGACTTATGAAAGTAAGGTCTATGATACAAAAGCAATACTATAGAAGTTCTCCATGATGAATTTGCATTACAAAAGTAGGGTTGTGGGTTCGAATCCTATATATGAATGACTTATGAAAGTAAGATCTACGATACAAAATCAATATTATAGGAGGTCTCCTTGATGCATAAGCATTGTATGGAGTGGTCGGGTGATCGACTGCTCCTAGTACTATAGCAAAATGACCTTATTAGGGACTTGAAAAGGAATATGATGGTGACGTGTATGCTGCTTCACGAGCAATTGGTCCGAGGTAAACTTGTACTCGCTAACCGATGTGTGTCCTAGACATATCATCTTAGTGCTGGTGGTAAGCGGGTTTGTTGTAGCAATACGGCTTTCCCGTGGACATCGCACACCCATACCGTTTGTGGGCGACGTCGTAGCGCATAGCGATGCGTCGTCTATCTTTCGGATTGGGGTGATCAGTGTGTTTGGTAGCACTTTTAAGTGTAACAGGCATACTCAACTTCATGTCAAAGTGCATTAGCGCTATGATATGTGGAGTTTTGTCCAATGGCGTCTTAGTAGCGTGATACTATGATACGTTGGTGCAGTTTTATATAAACACAATCTTAGTGCCGGTGGTAAGCGGGTTTGTTGTAGCAATACGGCTTTTCGTGGACATCGCACACCCATACCGTTAGTGGGCGGCGTAGTAGCGCATAGCGATGCGTCGTCTATATTTCGGATTGGGATAATGTTTGGTAGCACTTTTAAGTGTAACAGGCATACTCAACTTCATATCTTAGTGCATTAGCGCTATGATACGTGGAGTTATGTTCATTGGCGTCTTAGTATCGTACTACTATAATACGTTGGTGATATTTTTTATATAACGACAATAAAAACTTTGTTACCAAAATTGATAGGGGTCATGTGGGTGTGTTGTGAGGGGGCGCCATCCGTATAATAGTTGCATTGATGCTTACTGCTACTTGCGGTATTGCGTCTTGTGATGGATCTGCGGGTGTGCTGCGCCTGATTAGACGCATTCTTGTGGTTCTGGACGATGGAGGTAAACAAATAACATCTTAGTGCCGGTGGTAAGCGGGTTTGTTGTAGCAATACGGCTTTCCCGTGGAAATCGCACACCCATACCGTTTGTGGGCGGCGTAGTACCGCATAGCGATCGTCGTCTATATTTCGGATTGGGATGATGAGTGTGTTTGGTAGCACTTTTTAGTGTAACAAGCATACGCAACTTCATGTCTTAGTGTATTAGCGCTATGATACGTGGAGTTTTCTTCATTGGCGTCTTAGTAACGTGCTACTATGATACGTTGGTGATATTTTTTATATAACAACAATACAAAGCTTGTTACCAAAGTCGATAGGGATCATGTGGGTGTGTTGTGAGGGGGCGCCATCCGTATGATAGTTGCATTGATGCTTACTGCTACTTGCGGTATTGCGTCTTGTGATAGATCTGCGGGTGTGCTCGCCTGATTCGACGCATTCTTGTGGTTCTGGTCGATGGAAGTATGCAGGTGGTGATGTCTGCTGGGATGTATGGGGGACCTTGGAATGGTGTAAGCGCGGCGATAGTCGTATTGATGCTTGTTGCGTTCTGCAGCGTTGCGTCTCTGCGAGGTTGTTTGGTAGGCTGCTATTCTCAATGGCGCTCTCTGCGTCTTGGTTTGATTCACACCTAAGTTGCTTTGCCCAAGTCGGGTCCCTTCATTACGGGGCTGCAGACTGTCTTCCCTCCATGATGTTTTATATAATAATATAATAATATATCGCTGTAACTTTCCCACCTTTGAATGATTGAAGACAACTTGTTGGTGGGTGAATCAAACATGATCGAAAATGAATTTACTCAACGTCAGTGATACAAACTCTTTCTGATGGCGAATTATTACTCTTATCTTATAACTACCTTTTGGCTATATCTGCCGTTGTATTGGTTGGTGGAGCATATGTGTCGACCTCATGCGGGTGGTAGCTGGCGGAAGGATCTGAGGAGACTCTCAAGGCTGCGGCCGAAAGCCGCACAACGTGGGACCCCATTCCCTTGAGGTGAGCGGTAGACTCATGACACGCTCTGCGGCTAGTAGCCGTGCTGATCATGCAATCGGTGGTGATGCCATACACTTACATCACGTCTGCAGGAGCGGCGGTCTGGCAGGTGGTGGCGCTCACGGAGGGTTTACGGCCAGTGTGCCTATTTGCCTAAATCGTGTGACGAACATTCACTGTGGCTGGATTCGTTCGTATTCTGTATGGCGTTTACACGTATTGACATGCGCGACTTCGGTCGATGTTTGTGCTTACGCACTAACAAGGGGCCAAGCCTCTTTTACTGGTTCGCCAGTTATTTTGCTGTGAACTACGGTCCTGTTCCAGAATTAGCCAGGTCAGAATTAGACCAAGATAAAATATCTTATTTATCTTGGTCACACACATATATATATATATATAATTTTTATCTAAAAGGGGTAAATTAATTATATCTAATATATTTATTATTATGAGAGAGGGGGGAAGCGTTACAACTGGTACGGGACAAACCTCTTGGTAGGAATCAGCAAGAAAATCAGTGATACAATTTTTATTAAATAACAGCTTACATTCATATATGTAACAATTAATAACATAGAACAAATTAAAAATAGCTTGGTAACGATCCCAGATGTTATTATCATTCATAAAATCCTTAATTTTATAATAACCCTTTATATACAAACTTAGTTTAATAAAGTGTTTTGAACTCTGATGACTGATTGAGATAAACAAACAGGAGCGGTGTCAAGACTCTGTTTTAATTATTTGGTTGATTAGTAAGTACTTATACTCACCAAGGCTGTTCAAGGAAACTTCTGCCAGCCATCTGCATCTCTCCCATATCTGCATTAAGAAGACGACTTAATGGCCCATGCCGCAAAGGACAAAACCAACCTACTGGGTTCTCTTTGCGTCCAACTCGACTCTTATGACAGATGGAACACACCGTAGACCATAACATAACATAATCACTCACGCCTGTCATCCATAGGGTTAGGCAGGACTATAGACTTCCATTTAGAACGATCCTGACACACCTTTCTCGCCTCTTTGACATCCATATGCCTACGCATACATGCTCGACGGTTAAGGGTGCTCCTCCGTAGACCATCCCGCAGTTTATTGCTCCACGCAGGATGTGCTGTTTACCAAACGCTCGGTGCGTAGAGCACTGCTCTTCCTGGTCATCACAAGTCAAGTGGGCCTAATGGCGTCCCTCCTAGTGTGGTGAAAACGTGTGCTCCGGAGTTGGCACTGGTTTTCACGCGTGTTTTCCAGTACTTTCACTCCCTAGGTGTAGTTTCGAAATCATGAAAGACAGTCTTCGTGCACCCGAACCCTAAAAGAGGTAACTGCTCTGATCCGTCCAACAATATAGGCCTATCGCCATCACCTAATTATTGTTTAAAATAATGGAATCCATTATTAACAGCCAGCTCATGCAGTACCTTGAGGATCACCAGCTGGTTAGTGATCGTTAGTACGGTTTCCGTCACGGTCGCTCAGCTGATGATCTCCTGGGTTACCTAAGTCATAAATGGGCGAAGGCAGTAGAGTCCAACGGGAAGGCGTTGGCCATTAGTTTGGACATAGCAAAGGCCTTCGATCAGGTTTGGCACAAAGCGCTTTTTACGAAGCTTCCTAGGAAATTGTGCAATTGGAACACCAGTTTTCTTGCTAATCGGAGCATCAAGTTCGTAGTTGACGGTGCATGATCCGATTACAAGCCTGTAAATGCTGATGTTCCACAAGGCTGCGTGCTATCACCAACGCTGTTTATTCTGCATATTAATGACATGTTACAAACCGGTAACATTCATTGCTATGCAGACGACAGCACAGGTCATGCTTTATACACCGGCTATGCCAATATTTCTCGGGAAAACGCCATCGAGTACCGGGATAAACTTATGTCTTAAGTCGAGACTTTGTTGAATAAAATCTCGGACTAAGGGCGACTAAATCTAGTCCAGTTTAACCCCAAGAAGACACAAGTTTGCCCGTTAACCGCTAAAAAGAACCCCTTTGTCGTATCTCCTCAGTTTCAAGGCACTCTCCTTGTTGCCTCAGCCAGTATCGGAATCCTTGGCATCGACACATCGAGTGACGTGTATTTTTGTGGTCACTTAGAAGAGAAGGCCAAATTGCCCTTTAAAAGGCTTGGCGTGTTCAGCAGAGCGGGATAGTATTTCATGCCGTCTTATCGCCTGCAACTTTACAAATCGCAGGTTTGGCCGCACATTGAATACTGTACCCATCTCTGGGCCGGGGCTCCTCAGTTCCAGATCCTTCCATTTGATCGTATCCAGCGCAGAGCTTCATTAAACGCCTATATTGGAACCAATCGGCGAATGTACGTATAGAGGGCAAATTAACAGATGACTCGCAAATCTTACGTAGAGTACGGCAGGCATGTATTCTCTCGCCAATTCTTTTCAACATTTAGTCAGAGATGATTTTCCTTGAAACTTTGGATCAAATAGATGTAGGTATCACAGTGAAAGGTCAGATTATCAACAATATCCGTTATGACGATGACACTGTACTTATTGCATCTACAATGGAAGAACTTCAGATCCTTACAGATAAAATTCAATCTGATAGTTCAGCGTATGGCTTCAGTATCAACACCCGGAAAACCAAATATATGACAGTTTGTAAAACACCACCTGCTAACCCTTCTCTACTATGTATCGGACAGCCTCTACAAAAAGTTAGCAAATACTTACTAGCAAATTTGGTATGCTGGGTTGATGATACGTGAAACCACAGTCTTGAAATAAGGTGCCGCATAGAACAAGCCCGTAATGCTTTCATTAAGCTTAAGTGATTTTTGTGCAATAAAAAGCTTAACATACCGATACGAGTACGATTAGCACGCTGTTGGGTTTTTTTTCATTATTTTGTATGGCGTTGAAGCATGGACCCTCACAGAATCGAGCTGTAAGAAGATTGAAGCCTTCGAAATGTGGGTATACAGGAGAATGTTAAGGATATCCTGGAGAGAAAAAATAAACAACGTAACAGTGCTAAGTCACATAAAGAAAAAACCAGAAGTTGTATATTTAGTAAAGAAAAAAAGCTTGAATATCTCGGCCACATAATGAGAAACCAAAAATACATTGATTAAAACTACTTTTACGGATTTTATCGCGTTTATTTTACTATTATTTTTAATTCCCGACGTTTCGGGCGCTTTTCAGCACCCATGGTCACGGGGGACTGAGATGACTGACGTCCCGATGTCATAGTTAAACCCGGAGTACCTTCAGCTTTTTTAATTATTCTTTATGGTTCGATCTATACAAAATGAACTGACTATGTCCTGAGGTCTTGCAGTGGCATGCTTGGGTTTAGTTTTAATTTTATTGATTATAAGATCTCAAGCAGGTGGTAGTACCCAGCCTCCTTCTCTATTGAAATTAGGATGTTTTTTAATTTCAATAGCCTCACGTATCATCCTTGGTAGGAATCGGTGTTCTTTCGCGAGGATTTGTGGTCTATCAAATCTGATGTAATGGTTGGGGCCGTCTAGGATATGATCGCAAACTACAGACTTCCCGGAACGTTGATGCTTCACATCAGCTATATGTTCTTTTACGCGGGTTCTAATTGATCTTTTTGTTTGTCCTATATAAGAGAGACCACATTCACAATCAAGCTTGTACACTCCTGCATCTTGTAGAGGAATATGACACTTGACTGATGGTAGGAACTGACTAATCTTCTTCGGCGGCTTGTAGAATGTTCTAATAGAAGCTCGCTTCAAGATGTAGCCAATCTTGTTTGTGACACCTCTGATATATGGTAGTACAGCAGGCACACGCTCGACTGTGGCCGGCTTCACTCGGTCACTGTGACGTAGGCGCGGGACCCGAAGCTTGTTGTCGTGCAGAACTTGCTTGACGTGCTGAAGCTCGGCGGCCAGGTGTTTGCTGTCACAGATCCCTCGTGCTCTCTGTAACAAAGATTTGCCCACGGTAGCTAACTGTGAGGGATGGTGGTGTGATTCACCGTTTAAATATCGGTTTTTATGGGTCTTTTTCCTACACAAAGTGTGACCAATGGTGTTGTTAGGATTTCGGATGACTAACACATCTAGGAAAGGTAAGGAATTATTTGCCTCCATAATAAATTGAATTTTAGAATTTATGGAATTAAGATGTTCTAAAAATGCAGTTACTTTGTCTGATGGTAAAATTGTGAAAGTGTCGTCTACGTACCGCTTGTAGATCCTTGGTGTAACAGGTGCAGTAAGGAGGGCTTTCTCCTCAAAGTATTCCATGAATATATCGGCGACAATGGGAGATACAGGTGAGCCCATCGCAACACCATCTACTTGCTTGTAAAACTCTTCCTTCCACAATAGATAGCCAGATGTAAGGCAATATCTGAGTAATACTGCATATTCTGCTGGCATATTATTTTCCTAGTTATAATTGAGATGCAGTCTTCAACAGAAAGGCATGTAAATAGAGACTGAACATCAAAACTGACCATGGTTTCATTGTCAGTAAGGCGTAGGTCTTTTATCTCACTGACAAAATTGTATGAATCCTTAGTGTGTGCTCTTATGTGTCCTCTGAGTGGTGATAATATTTTAGCTAAGTATTGAGCCAAACTGTAAGTTGGCGAATCAATCTGACTCACTATTGGACGTAATGGAGCGTTCTGTTTTTATATTTTTGGTAACCCATACAACTTCGGTGGTTTGGCACATGAAGGTATTATCTTATTAACGTCCAGATTCAATTTCTCGGAGTATTTCTTAATTAGATCGCTAGTTGTTTTAAGCGTATTAGTTGTAGGGTCTGTTTTGACCTTTCAGTATGTAGTTTCATCCGACAAAAGTTGTTGTATTTTAAAATTGTAATCTGACGTATCCATTATAACCATAGCATTGCCCTTATCTGCGCGGAGAATCGTAAGCTCTGGTCTGGTGTGTAAGTTTTTCAACGCGTTAAATTCTTTTTTGGGAAGATTTAATTTCGGCGCTGAACTTCAACGTAAAATAGACAAAATGTCTTGACGTATGGCCTCTAAATCTTCATTATCAATGTTATTTTTATACAGACAGTCCTCGACACTACAGATAATGTCCTCATACGGCATTTTTCGCGGTGTTATTGCGAAATTTATACCTTTTTTTAAAACTTTTATTGTGGCGTCGTTCAGTGTTTGTTTTGATGAATTGTAGACAGCGCGTTGTTTACGATTCGTGCCTGTGGTCAATGATTTCGCATGTTGGACATTTGATTTAGTTGTTAATTTATGGTATTTATCAATATGTTTATTTTTGCATTCATTGTATTTAGTTGTTTCGCGTTTATCTAAAGTTTCCATGCAATTTTTATAATCAAATGCCGATAAAACTGTCTTTAATTCACTGGACGACTTGTATATGGTTTTGCTTATGAAATATAGATCGGTACGTTTTTGCTGAATCACCGTTATTAACAACTTTTTACTAGCCTGATTTAAGATCTTAGCGCTTCCTCGAATGTCTTTTTTAGTGGATATCTTGACACACGTAGGAATGGGATTATGATCTCTGCATCTCTTCAAGAAATTTAAAGCTGCGCGCTTTGGTCTTTAGATCTTCTAATCGGCGTATTTTATTTGCTATTTGCAGTAATCCTATAATCCTATAATCAATAAAATTAAAACTAAACCCAAGCATGCCACTGCAAGACCTCAGGACATAGTCAGTTCATTTTGTATAGATCGGACCATAAACAATAATTAAAAAAGCTGAAGGTACTCCGGGTTTAACAATGACATCGGGACGTCAGTCATCTCACCATGACCATGGGTGCTGGAAAGCGCCCGAAACGTCGGGAATTAAAAATAATAGTAAAATAAACGCGATAAAATCCGTAAAAGTAGTTTTAATCAATGCGTAGTGTTCGCGTAAATATAAGAAATCATTATGTGAACCAGTACGGACTGGAAACACACTACTATAAAACATTATTATTCAAACTTTATATTGACTTCCAAAAAAATTAATTACTACATTTTTTATGCATAAATATATGCACCATCTAATTGTTTATCTACTATGGCTCACCAAATAATCCATTTGGTATTAAGCAACTTGCTGAATAAGATAAGATACCTTTTGTTCATAAGTGCAGTTAAATGAATTTTGCCTCTTTTAGGTCAATGAAGCTGCATCAAACAGATAAGCTATATAGATAAATTAAGCAGAGAGGCTCGAGTTACAAAATTCCACTCGAGTCACATCGTATGTAATCCTACGGTCAATTCAATGGGTGTTTACAATTTAGTGATGAACTCGGCTTACTAATTAAAGCAATTTATTTATATGTTAAACAATAACAAAACAAATTTATATTACGTAATATGTGTATTATTTAATATCAATTTCTGTTATACATAATATAAATTCATTAAGTATAATTTGTGACAGTTAAATTATCAATAACATAAATACCTACGTCATAACGTTGGAGTTATATTATTTCCTGAAGTTTGGTGATAGATACACAAACCAAAAATATATAACTAAGTTTACTAATAATAATTGTGTTGAATGGAAGAACCGATATAAAAATAATTTGTGACAAATTGACACACCTTCGTTCAGCTAATTTGAATAGCGTAACTCGAGTTCAATTCGAGTTACCCGAACTTCAACTCGAATTCGGTTTTCTTCTGAGTTATACAATTATTTTTTAAATATTACATTACCAGAACATTCATTCTAGTAATGTAATATTTAAAATTATCAACAAATCAACAAATATCAAAACAACTCCTTTTTTACATTTCTTGATTCCATTTAGATTAAAAAATATTTTTAATTTATTTATAATAATAAATTGGTATCTTTTTTGTGTAATACTATTGAGGGTCGTTAAAATTTCTAGTGGTCCTAAAAATGGTTGTCTCCTTCAATTAATAAAATGTTATGCACGTATCTATGGATTTTTTGAAGTAAGGTTATTTTTATGCATTTGTATACTGTTTCTAATAAGGGTTTTATATTTATTATTTATTGTATAATGAAAATTCTTTTGAGCTCCACAAACTTGGACTCTTATTTGATTTTCAATATCTAAATGTACAAAACTAAACAAAGCAGCAACTAAAAAACAGTCTTAAAGTTTCGCAATATTTTTCCTTCAACAGCGCAATCGCAAGTGTGTAATGAACCTTACATAATATGAGCATATTATACGACGGGTTAATGTGGCGTCGCGATAAGCTTAAACGAAATGGGACCTGGTTCATATGTATTTTTCTGGATGCGGAACAAAATGAACGATCATTAACTATAAGAAGAGGTAATTATACTACACAAAACATGTTTTTACTTTGACTTCCGGTGAAAACTTTTTTTCTTTACTTTTAATAGTTTCGTTATAAACTATTTAATAGTTTCGTTTTTTTTTCGCAGATATTTATGCTTCTGCTTAAATTTTCAGTATTAAGTATTTACGTTTTAACTCCACACTTAAATTTAGGGAAATTCAAATAGATTTTGAGAACAACATACAATAGAATGAACTATACATAAGAATTTTTTTTAAGTTTACTATAATTATACATAGGAAAAACAACGAAAAATAGGATACCTGTGGATATTGTTTTGCCGTTTCTTCTCCGATCATAGACCTCATTTTGAAACGGTACTGAATTTTAAAACATGTTGACGCTTGTTAAAGGAAACAATAACTTTTGCGTCAAAAAATAAGAAGTTTGCATTTCAGTATCAACACGCAAGTATGTATTAAGTAA